GCAGTAAAATGTGAAATTTAGCTGCTGATCTAAGCCAACATTACGGTTTTATTGCCAATTAATGTTACTGATCAGCTGATTGTCTCGCTATGTAACCGGCAAAGCCAAACCACAGGCTGGAGAATAAGTAGGCGCCATGAAATTAATCCATATTTCACACCACTGACAGGGGAAACAGCTCTCTGTGGTTATGGCCAGCTTCTAGCTCGTGCTAAATAACACATGTACTCCTTCAGTTGTCCAAATGTTAACTTCTCTTCTTACTTCTCATAAACCAGACGACTACTCAGAGACTGTACATTCCTATTATTATTAGTCCGTCTTCTTCTTTGTATGTATTTAATGTAGTGACGGGCGTCTACACTAGAGGTGATCGTCCGCCGTCTGCTGGAGCTGTATTACCCAGTCTCTTCAATCACTTTCAAGTGAAACAGCCTTCTGCATTTTATGGGTTGTATTGGCCATTTAAAGGTATTTTCAGAGGTAAAAAGTACTAGGCGAGCTATAATCTATCAAATATAACTCTTCTGAATGAAATTAACTAATTTCAGGGCAGAAATAACCTTTCAGTCAATAACAAAAGGCTTCAATCATTTTCTGGCAAGTAAAATACTGCATTTTATGAGTTGTATTGGCCATTTAAAGGTATTTTAACAGGTAAAAAAAAGAGTGGATTGGTTGGTAGGCCTACACAGCAAGTAAAATAATGCAGAGTCATAAGGATAAATGCAAAATTGTCTTCATTTTATATCTAAGTTGGCAGTAAGTCATGTTAATTAGGCTACAGCCCGTTTTCCAACTATAAACAAAGATATTAGACGTAGGCCTACCAAACATCAGCTTTCGGCACGACACCTGAATTACACAAGCAGAAGAAGAACGCTGTGATGACGAAATGTGCTCTGTAGCTGTTTGTTCGTTGACGGCTACTGTAGAAACATGACGAGAAAATACAACGAGCTCCACAGCAGGGGGTGCCCGCGGTTATGTAGATATGTGGATTTTATATGCATCGCGGGAGAGGGGCAGGGGCCGAGGGGGCAAGGAGGCCCCTTGCATCATACACATTTTACAATCCCATCACATTCACAAGTAAAATGCTATCTTTTCACTTTGGAAGTTGGGACTCAAAATTCACTGTGCCTTCGATAAGGATCGGACTCACGACATCTGGGCTGCAAAGCGGAACACTACCTCACCGAGCTACAGGGACAGACAGTTTGGAAGTCTCAAATGTTCCACGTGGTCTGTGTTTGGGTCTGAACATTTAGTGTGTGAATGTTTTGGCTCTCTGTTCACATGTGGACTGGCCACATGTAATAAATCCCTAATAAATATCGGAGTTTATTGAATAGGATAAACCCATTGAGATGAACCACCTTGTTTTCGAGGGGGTCCTAATATACAATACAATAAAGAACAAAAGGACAAATCAAACACATTACAATAATCAGACAGACAATACTACAAATAACACCAACAACATCAACAACAAACAAAAAACACAAACCTGCTAGTTACCCTTTGGTTTACCCGCTAATTACCCGCTGGTTACTTGCTAGTTACCCGCTGGTTACTTGCTAGTTACCCGCTGGTTACAGGGTTCTTGCACCATTTTAAAAGTCAAATTTAATGCTTTTTAAGACCTTTTAAGACCTCAAGAAATATAAATTTAAGACCTCAAATTTTGAAACAATTTCTTTGATAGAAAAGAGACGCGCGTTTATCTCTTAATGAACAACGCAATGCCATATTTGGCAGTTTTATTTTCACCACAGGTAAAGGACTTTGCATATTCCGAATTGAGGAAGATAGAGGGAGTTTACACCTGGCATTAAAATGTATTTTGGGTGATCAGATTGTGATCGGGTAGCACTTGAACACATGAAAGTACAGGTGTAAATGCACCCGAGACGCATTGAGGACAGATTGTGATCAGATCAGCAAAACGACCTCTGGATGAGGTCAGGGACACCATGGCAGTCTTCTGCCAATAAAATCCAAAAGTCTGACATAAACATGAGCATAAACATGCTCAAACATTGTAGATTATTGATCTTGCTCATGTTTTTGGTGAACCGATCGTGTCCGTTTGTGAATGTGAATTACGGGGCAATATAACAATAATGTTAATTATCGTGACACAATCTTCCTCAATAACAATATACAAATGTTCAATAAATATTTGATTTAATTCATTTGAATCACAAACAAATTAGCACTTTCTTTTCTATTAAGATATTTATTTTGTTGTGGAAAAGGGACTGATTAATTAATTTTCTCATGCATATTTGTTGTTTTGAATGTTCTGCCTCAGCTCTGTGAAGTGATCCACTGTTTGATACCAGGCTGCTTTTTGGATCAAGTGTTTGTCTAGTTTCATTTTCACTTTCCGGCAGAGCTAATACACAAGCACACTACTAAAGAGAGGTAAATAATCCATGGAGGAAAACAAATCACAGTGAAAGACACACTTTAGAAAGTTATTTTAACCTGTAGTTATAGATAATTTTTTGGACCGGCGCAAATGAGGAGGACGTGATGTAGGTTACAGTTGTTTGAACTAGACAGAACAATAAGAACGATCTTCCTCCAACCACTTTAACTTGTGTCTACCAATCTTGGGAGGTTACCTGCTGGTTACCCGCTGGGTTACCCGCTGGGTTACCTGCAGTTTACCTGCAGGGTTACCCGCTGGTTACCTGCTGGTTACCCACTGGTTATCTGCAGTTTACCCGCTGGTTAACCGCTGGCTACCTGCAGGGTTACCCACTGGTTATCTGCAGTTTACCTGCTGGTTACCTGCAGTTTACCCGCTGGGTTACCCGCTGGGTTACCTGCAGTTTACCCGCTGGGTTACCCGCTGGTTACCTGCAGTTTACCTGCAGGGTTACCTGCTGGTTACCTGCAGTTTACCCGCTGGTTACCTGCAGTTTACCCGCTGGTTACCTGCAGTTTACCCGCTGGTTACCCGCTGGTTACCCGCTGGTTACCTGCAGTTTACCTGCAGGGTTACCCGCTGGTTACCTGCAGTTTACCCACTGGTTACCTGCAGTTTACCTGCAGGGTTACCCGCTGGTTACCTGCTGGTTACCCGCTGGTTACCTGCAGTTTACCTGCAGGGTTACCTGCTGGTTACCCGCTGGGTTACCTGCTGGTTACCCGCTGGTTATCTGCAGTTTACCTTCTGGTTACCTGCAGTTTACCCACTGGTTACCCGCTGGTTACCCACTGGTTACCCGCTGGGTTACCCGCTGGTTACCCACTGGTTACCCGCTGGGTTACCCGCTGGTTACCTGCAGTTTACCTGCAGGGTTACCCGCTGGTTACCTGCTGGTTACCCGCTGGTTACCCGCTGGTTACCCGCTGGTTACCCACTGGTTATCTGCAGTTTACCTTCTGGTTACCTGCAGTTTACCCACTGGTTACCCGCTGGTTACCTGCAGTTTACCCGCTGGTTACCTGCAGTTTACCCGCTGGTTACCTGCTGGTTACCCACTGGTTACCCGCTGGGTTACCCGCTGGTTACCCACTGGTTACCCGCTGGGTTACCCGCTGGTTACCCACTGGTTACCCGCTGGGTTACCCGCTGGTTACCTGCAGTTTACCTGCAGGGTTACCCGCTGGTTACCTGCTGGTTACCCGCTGGTTACCCGCTGGTTACCCGCTGGTTACCCACTGGTTATCTGCAGTTTACCTTCTGGTTACCTGCAGTTTACCCACTGGTTACCCGCTGGTTACCTGCAGTTTACCCGCTGGTTACCTGCAGTTTACCCGCTGGTTACCTGCTGGTTACCTGCAGTTTACCCACTGGCTACCCGCTGGTTACCTGCAGTTTACCTGCAGTGTTACCTGCAGTTTACCTGCAGGGTTACCCGCTGGTTACCTGCAGTTTACCCGCTGGTTACCTGCAGTTTACCCGCTGGTTACCTGCAGTTTACCCGCTGGGTTACCCGCTGGTTACCTGCAGTTTACCTGCAGGGTTACCCGCTGGTTACCTGCAGGGTTACCCGCTGGTTACCTGCAGTTTACCTGCAGGGTTACCCGCTGGTTACCCGCTGGTTACCTGCAGTTTACCTGCAGGGTTACCTGCTGGTTACCCGCTGGGTTACCTGCTGGTTACCCGCTGGTTATCTGCAGTTTACCTTCTGGTTACCTGCAGTTTACCCACTGGTTACCCGCTGGTTACCCACTGGTTACCCGCTGGGTTACCCGCTGGTTACCCACTGGTTACCCGCTGGGTTACCCGCTGGTTACCTGCAGTTTACCTGCAGGGTTACCCGCTGGTTACCTGCTGGTTACCCGCTGGTTACCTGCTGGTTACCCGCTGGTTACCCACTGGTTATCTGCAGTTTACCTTCTGGTTACCTGCAGTTTACCCACTGGTTACCCGCTGGTTACCCACTGGTTACCCGCTGGGTTACCCGCTGGTTACCCACTGGTTACCCGCTGGGTTACCCGCTGGGTTACCTGCAGGTTACCTGCAGGTTACCCGCAGTTTACCTGCTGGTTACCTGTGCAACAGGTGCAAACCGACACGTCGCTGCACACAGACGTGTGCTCCCGCCATTATTACGTGGTCCAATGAGAGGAGAGGAACACACTTCTTCTTCGTTATCTGGAGTAATAAAGACACTTTGTACAAAAATAGATACGTTTTATCTCTTGCGGTTTAAAAATGGGATTAACTAAGAACTGACTCACCTGAAGATCGCATCGTCGTTCTTGATGCCATTTTTAACAAATGTTCATTTCACAGAAGAAACACAGTTTTTATCTTTTTTATAGAAGAAATCGATTCAGAGAATGAGGAACGTTTTGGACTGAACTGTAGCAGCAAAATGCTTTAGGTCTTCTGGTATTTTTAACTATTTAAAACAGGTAAAGTTAAAACCTGTTTTTTAATCATGTTGCATTGGATTCCCTCCACCAAAGATTTAAACCTTTCATTGATTCTTACTGAGTTTCATCTATTTCACCACCATGAACATACAAATGTATTCTAGAAACACTTTATTAACGGAGTATTCTGATTGTCTTGTTATATTTAGTGCTTTGTGGTCCGGACAGTTTGAGGTACATCGTGCAGCTCCTTAATGTGCTTCCAAAATGTTCAGAACAGCTGCAGATATCCTGATGAGAGTGTGGAAGTAGGACCACATCACGTTCTACATTCACTTTACTGGCTTCCCGTCTCCAGCAGGATTGAATTAGGACTAAGCTGTTTTGCTGTCTCTGTCCTTTGTCCGTGACTGTTCAGGTTTTCCTTCCTTGATTATTTGACCTGGGTGTCATTAGGTTCACCTTTAAGTGGTGTGATCTGTTCACTCAGCGCCAGTTCATTGCTTCGCTGTCTCTGGTGTTCCAAGTGTTTCTCCTGCACTACATCTCACTTGTGGATTATCTCTCTGTTGGACACCTGTTGTGTTTTGGACTCTCAACATCACCTGTTGAGCCTCTGTAATAAATCTAACCAACCTGTTCCGGGTCCAAACTCCTGTTACCTGCAAACAGAAAAGTTCCAGCATTCTAATAGAACTGAATTTAATTTGAGCTTCTGACGATGTTACACGTCTCTGATTAACTGAATATTTTGTGGTTGTTCTGATTCTTCTTCTTGTTTAGTGTTTATACAGAAACAAGGTAAATCATTACATTACATTTAAATGTGTTATTCTGTAATGGAAAACTCAGTTGACTGACTAACAATTATCATGCGCAAACAAAGAACTGATGAACAGCAGCTTACTGTCCGTTTGGAGGTTTCAGGACGTTAACAACACTGATGAGTAGGGTCGGGAATCAAGTTACCAAGAACCGTGGACTCATCCAAAACTGTGTGCTCATTAAGTCCTGTGGACTCGTTAAGACCCGTGAACTCGTTAAGACCCCTGGACTCGTTAAGAACCGAGGACTCGTTCAGACGTGTGGACTCATTAAGAACTGTGGACTTGTTAAGATGTGGGGTCTCGTTAAGAAGTGTGAACTCGTTAAGACCTGTGGACTTCTCAAGACCCCTGGAATCGTTAAGTCCCGTGGGGACTCATTAAGACCTGTGGACTTCTCAAGACCCCTGGAATTGTTAAGTCCTGTGGGGACTCGTTAAGACCTGTGGACTTCTCAAGACCCCTGGAATCGTTAAGTCCCGTGGGGACTCATTAAGACCTGTGGACTTCTCAAGACCCCTGGAATCACTGAGTCCCGTGGACTCGTTAAGATGTGGGGACTTGTTATGTTGTTTGTTAAAAACCCTGAAAACGTTAAGACCCGAGGACTCCTTAAGAACCAAGGACTCGTTCAGACGTGTCTCGTTATGACGTGGGGACTCATTAAGACCCCTGGACTTGTAAAGAACCATGGTCGCGTTAAGAACTGTGGAATTGTTAAGAACCCTGAAAACATTAAGACCCGAGGACTCGTTAAGACCCCTGGACTCGTTCAGACGTGGGACTCGTTAAGACCCCTGGACTCGTTCAGACGTGGGGACTCGTTAAGACCCCTGGACTCGTTAAGAACCGAGGACCCGTTCAGACGTAGGGTCTCGTTAAGATCTGTGCGTTTGGATTCTGCTTCTCGGATCCTAACTTCCCGCATATCTCAGCTCCTGACTGAACTGCAGTGATTTACAGTCCGTTAAAGAGTCTCTGATCTGCCAGGAGCTGCTACGCTGACCGAACGTCACCTCATGTGTTACGTCAACAAAGCATGAAGAAGAGAGTCCTTCTGGTTCCGGTCCTGGACCGTGGCGGGCCGCAGCAAATGCTTCAAAGTTTGGCTTAGCTTCACTAAAAAACTGCAGCAGCTGCAGTCAGGAGGTTTGATGCGAGGGAGGAAGCAGCTCCAACATGACGAAGCGTTTCCTTCAACACGGCGTGAATCTGAAGGAACGCTTCAGTGTTCAACGTGCTGCACTCTCCCAGCTACAGTGAGGCCCCAGATCCAGCTAACGCTAACAGTAGCAACGTCTCTAAGTAGAATCAGACTCTATAACATTTAAACAATACACAACACACCCGACGATGTTTCTGACAGGACAGAGACTCGTCCTGCTGTTTTCCACGGCGGTGGAATAAATCAGACGACCACATTTCTAACAAGAGTCTCACACATTTATTTGCTGAGCAACGTTTAAAACAGCCGACGTAATGCATCAGGTGAAATGGCAGTGTTAAGGCTTCAGGTCGTCTGTTCTGACGTCAGACCTGCAGAGACGAGCACGATTCGTCTTCACACGTGTTGTTGCTCTTTGTTCCAGCCGCACAGTTTCAGCCGCCCTTCAGAATAAAACTGAGCTGGTGTTTCAGGCGGCTGGCGTTGTTTGTTAGTATTGTTGTTGTTTATCAGACGGCCGGACGTGGACGGCGTCTCAGAGGAACTCTTTCAAGATAAACTTCACAGAAGTCGTTTAAGCAGCGTTAAGTTGCTTCTGTGTGGTGACGTGAACTGAAGGCTACAACAGAAGAAAAGGCAGAAAGATAAAGTTTGTTTGGCAAATAACAACTGTCCTCCACCACCGCCGCCGCCGCAGGTGAAGCTTTCTGCAGTCATCAACGACCTCCTGCCGTTCGATAGCTGTCAATCATCCTGACTGTCTCTCTGGCGGCTCTGAGCGACACACAGACGAACACCTGCAGACCAGCTGCTGTCCACGCGAGGAGACGACCTGCAGCCTCAGCGGCATTCAGACGGCGAGCGAAATGATCCCTCACTCGGCAACGAGTTTATCCTAACAGTGTATACTTTAAGTTTTGCATATATTGTACGTCAGACCTTTTTTATTTATGGGCCAATAAACAAGTATTATCATTAATCTTATTGCCGTGATTAATCTTCAGTGACGTCTCTCCCACGTTTACTGGTGTTGTGTTTTTCTGCGTCGGGCTGCTTTACTTTCTGATTTCACCGGTATTTAATTAAATGAAACCTGTCAGCTCTCTGCTGCACCTGAACTTCTCCGTAAAGTCCGGTCTTAATTCACTACTTTGTCGTTTTAATGACTCGCAGTTTCTTCACTGGGTCTGATGATCTGAGGCAGCGTGTTATTTCCACACTGGGCACCTGTGATGTCCTGGAGTACACCTGTCCGTCACCGCAGTAATTTGAGAGCACGACGAAAGTCACATTAAATGATTTGAGGGTCTGAACCTCTACAGACGGTAAATCTGTCGTCACGGCCGCGATGTGAAAAGAAGAATAAATTAGTTTCTCTGTAAATAACGACGCAGGAACAAAGAGATTCTGACGGGTCGGGTCAGGTGTTCCGGTGTGGCTCAGAGCTGGCGTTCAGGTGTTGAGTCTGCTGACGACGGACTGAACCAGTCGGATTAAAGCCGCTGAACACGACTACAGTTCTGATTTTAAGTCCACAGCGACTCGTCAGTGGTTCAGTGATGTGCAGCATATTAACACTTGTTGCTGCATTGTGGGTAAACAAGCCAACACCCAGGACTCAGCTGTTAGAACAGGTCTGAAGGTTCAAGCAGTGCATTATGGGCCACGGCCTCACTGATGGATCACTCAGTCCCGTGGCGCCGTAACATCCCGTGGCGCCCGGCTCAGTGCAGGTCTTTGAAGGGTTTGGGGTAGTTAAACATCAGGTAATCCATGTAGTAGAAGTCGAAGGCCTTCTGCCTCTCTGTGGAGTTCAGCTGTGCAAAGTACCTCTGGGTGATGGAGGAGGACGTCCTCTCCGCGAGGGGGTTTCTGTCTTTGAAGTCGGGGAAGGTGAGGTTCCCTGGCGCGCCCACGCTCTGCAGCAGGAAGTTGGCCTCTTCCTCCAGGCTCTCAAACTTCCCGATGAAGTTGTACCTGAGCAGGCAGGGGTTGCACAGCTGGCTGACCGGCTCCCAGTGGATGTCCATCCCCACGGGCCGGCGCACGTCCAGCAGGTACTGGATGAACTCCCTGAAGGTGACGCCGGCGCCGGTCCTCAGGGCTGCGCGCGTGGCATTGGCGCGGTACCTGGAGATGATCGGGCGTCCGAACACAGGGTGGTAGTACGAGTTCGGACTCTCAAACTTGTCCCGAAACGCCGACACCAGGCGCTCAAAGGGCTCCCTGACGAACAGCACTTTGGTGTAGGAGCGGAGTCTCTCGGCGATGCCGGCGTGGTTGTAGCTCTCCAGCCGCCGCAGCTGGTTGGCGTAATGAGCCGCGTCGTGGGGAATTTCTCGTGTGGAGGTGGCGCTGCCGCCCAACACCATCAGCACCCGCTTCCAGTTGGAGCAGCCGGCTTTGGGCACCTCGCAGTACAGCAGCCTGGACCGGTCCTCCACGTAAACCCGCGACACCTGCCGCCGAGAGACACGCTGCTGGGTGACGCCCGGCTGGTATTTGGCACAGACGTCGGCCAGCAGGCGGCGCCGGGACTCCTGCGTCCTCGCCAGCCGCTGCAGCGGTCGCAGTTCGTCCTCTCCGCCAACAGGAGCGCTGGAAGCTGCAAAGTTCCTCTTCAGAAGCAGCTTCCTGTGGCGTTTGGTGACCGGCTGCGTGGAGCTGACCGCAGAGTCTTCGAGCATCAACGGAGATGAATCAGACGAGACCTTAAAGTCCGTGTCAGCAGCGGCGTCTTCGGCCTGCAGATCCTGGACACGGAGAGAGAGAGAGGCTGAGTCCACAAGGAAAATACACTGTGTACATGAAGTACTTTATCTTATTACAGGTGTTTTCTGTATTTATATGTAAATAGTCATTAGTTTTTTGTACCTTAACTTGCTTCTATATTTAATGTTCCTGTCACAGATGTTTGCTTTACTGATGAGTCCAGTTTATCGTCGTTCTTTTATTTGTTTCTTGCTGGTTCTGTGCAGGTGATGTGTGTGAAGAGATATTTGGGACTAAGGGACTCTTGTTTGTGTTTTATTTATTTTAACTTTTCATCTCCATGCTTCCTTTGTTCAGTACAACTTTATTAATCTGTGTGTGTAATTATTTTTCTCTTCCACACACACACTGTGTTTTATGGACAGACCAAAATAATAATGTGTTGGTGTCTCTCAGACTGTCTGCTGTAAACCATCTTCAGACCTCTGTGAGTCTGTCGGTCGGGCCTCAGAAGCCTCCTGCAGACAGGTTTCCCTCAGCTGTGCAGGGACTCACCTGTAACACCGTGGCGAGTTAACATGACCAGATCGTCTTAGATCAAATACCAACAGGGACCCACATCAACAAGTCCTGCTGAGCACGGGCTGCATGTGTCTCCATGCCTACTCTTCCTGTTCATTTATAAATACATGTTCATTAACCTGCACTTCACTGGTTTGGTGATATGGACTTTGTGTTGCAGTGCTGTAAGCGTCCAGCAGGTGGAGCTGCCCCCCTGTCTCCAGCAGTGGAGGACAGCTGGGTAATAACAGGGCAGTTTGTTCTGGCAGAGCTGCAGTTTGGCTCACCTTCTCCACGGGCCACCTGGGAGCCGCCAGCACATTCACACCTGCAGAGAAACACAAAGACAAGAACGCATGAGACCTTCCTGACAGCTGATCCGCAGCCAGCGCGACCTTCAGACCAATCACGACCTCCGGAGCTTCATGACAGCAGCTATTTCAAAAAGAAGGGCCGCTGGTTTGAATCCCACGCCGGTCTTTGGGGACACTGAAGGAGCTCACAGCAGCGTGCGCAGAGGACCGTCGGTTATTCAGCGGCTTTTCTAAAACCTTCTTCTGCCCGTCAGGTTCGTTATCAGCTAATCTACTGACGTTAATTCATCGAGATCATCTGATGTGTGTCAGAACAAACTGATCCTCCAAATAAACTCAAACCGAACTCCCAATGTTTCCTTCAGACGTTAAACACGAGGGCCGCCAGCTTTAATGTTTCTGGGGCCGTACATCAGAGAGCATCCATTTCTGCGCATGTGAACATTTTACGGAGTAAAGGTCCTGTAGAAAAACAGTCGAACAGAACAGCTGATATCTCACAGATTTAATGGTTAATGAGCAGGAAGCACCTACAGCGGAGGTGAAGCAGGAAGTCCAAAAACCATGTAACACAAGTCCAAACAACAAGGACAACAAATCCAGAAGACACCGGGGAACACAAGACCCAGAGCAGCTGTGCTGATGCTGCGTTCAGTTTACATGCAGAACAGGTTTTACCAGATGACAGTATGTATTATTTTAACCAAATACAGGCGAAATATACTTCACGTAGCCTTTTGTTGACGGTCAGACTGCTGCCTCTCCGTGAAGTCGGGGACGTGCATTTGACCCCGAGTGGCGTTCAGTTGAACTTTTACTAGTTGGACATTTTTGAGTTCCCAGTTTTCTGGAACGCAGCGTTTCTCGGGAGCTGAGATAACGAGACTCAGGTGAAACTCATCAGGGCAGGTGCAAACAATCAGCCCAGAGACACAAAGGCAGGAAGCGAAACAGGACAGAACGTCAAAATAAAACACGATGACAGGAGAACGGTGACGATTGTAAATAAGAGGAAATAAAGATTGTACGATAAAGATCAAAAAAACCTTCTCTGTATGAAGTGCATTTTTCAGTGTTTGGATGGCGAGCACGATTGTTCTGGAAATGCCTCAGAAACCCCTTTATTGCCAATATATCTGAACGCCCCACGTCTTGAGTCTGGGGTGTAAAGTTACAGATCTAATCCTGTTTCAGGAGCCCCGAATGCAGAAAAATACTCAAACACACCATTTTCAGAACAGAAAATAACAAAAACGGCGTGGGAGTAGGTCAAAGTGGGCGTGTCTGTAAAGGGAATTCATTGGGACCCATTTTCCTTCAGATATCTAGAGGTCAGAGGTCAAGGGGGCCCTTTGGAAATGGCCAGTTTTTCTGAAACGTTATTTTGCCCCGACAAGCCAGCATGACTCGGTCGGTACCAGTGGAAGTCTGAGGTGTTCTGGTTTAAACTCTGGGTCCAGGTCCAGACTCTTAAAGACAGCAGGCGACATAATGGGGTGCGACAGGTTAACTGAGAGGTTTCATAACTTTTCGAGGCCGTGCAGCGAGTGAACCTCACTCCCGAGCGCCCGCGGGTTTAAGCCTCCCTGTCAGCGTGTCCGCCGGTTCGCGTCACGACGCACGAGGTCGTCTTACTTTGAAGGAAACGTCCTTCCTGTGACGTGCGTGCAGGTTCCTGCTCTCCGAACGCACTCAACAGCCACACGAAGCAAAACACACGCCGTTGACAGGAGGCGAACGGCGCTCTAAATAACTCAGGCAGCATTCACTGAATCTTAAACACACACACGGTGGTGGTGGTGGTGGTGGTGGTGGTGGGGGGCTCCAGATGGCCTCTCAGCAGCTTCCTGACACTGAAGGTTAGCGGCGTCCCGCTCCTCCTGCAGCCTCTCCTGGTTATTTATTACCCAGACTGCACCCCCCCCCCAGACGCGCGCCACACAAAGCAAACGCACGACTAATCCTGAGCCCCTAACCGCCGCGTGACGGCTCCCCACGCCGCTCAAACAAAGACTCCTCGAGTCCATCCGAAAGATATTGTCTGTCTGTGCTGCTGCATGATATCGCCTACAGTCAACAATAACCAAAGGTCACTAAGGACAACAGCTGTTTGCAGCGTGTGAAACTCTGTGGTGGTAAAAGGTTTGAGTTCAGCAGCAGTTCAGAGAAGAAGCCTCCTTCAGATCCATCCCCTGCTGCAGGTTTAAAATCCCCCACCGCTGCACACAGAGACACACGAACCAAACGCACCCTCCTCCTCCAAAAGGCACACAAGGTCGGTCAACTTGACTTGGCTGCTGTCGGAGTTCAGTCCGTCAGCAGCAGCAGGTTCTGGCATCTAATCAATGGCGCTCGACCTCCGTGTAGGTCAGCGTTAGATGAACACACACACACACACACACACACACAGTCCTCAGTGCGAAGTCACAGCTTCAGACTTGATTTAGTTAACAAAGAAAAGCAGGTCAGAGAGGAAGTCTGATGGAGCTCAAACAGCCAACAGCTCGTCAGCTGAATCTCTCTCACACACTTTGCTATTAAAGACAAATATTATGGGTGCAGTTAGTTACATAAACAAAATCTTGGACCAGTAGCAGACGCAGATGTTCACTCAGCATCTTCGCCATGGCAACAGCAGACAGAACAGCGCTCAGCCAGCTGTTCCAACCCGTGTGCGTTCGGACATAGTTATAACTCAGTGACTCGAATTCTCTTCTTCCTCTCTGAGAGTCAGATGTTCAGATCGATGCCTCTAAATGTGAAGCTACAGCAGCAGCCGGTTAGCTTAGCTTAGCTCTCTCCAAAGATAACAAAAACACACAAACTTTACAGTGTTTCATGCTCAGTTTCTGTTCCAGCAGATGAAATTAGCTCGTTTCAGTCTCAGTTTAGGGAAAAAACATTTCATTTAAATGAACGAAGCTGATCTCTGATTTCTTTGTGATGAGGTGAAACACACCATGCTGACGACAGGAAACCTGCAGAGTACCCAGCTAGCACACATCAGTAGCACGCCGCAGGGAGACCCAGGATCAGGCCAGACCTGAGGGTGAAATCAACAGGTGACAGCTCCTGGATATAGGCAGGAAAATAATCCCACACAGACTGCAGCCAGAGGTCAAGACGGGGAAACGTTACAACCACAGGTCGACCAGCTAATGTTAGTATAGCATGGGAGCTACAAGCTAATCTGAATCAGACTGTTGATGAAGACAAGATGCGCTGCGTTCACGGGGGCGGCCACAGAAACTGTCGTCACCCTCGCACGTTTCATCAAAGTCAAACCGGTTCCCCTGCACGAGGAAAACGTCTCGTCAGCGGCGGACAGAGACAAAAAAAAAAGGCCTGGGGACTTGACCCTGGTTTTCAGAGACCTTTATTCAAGGACATTTTCAAACCTAGAAACCCGCCCTGGTCTCCTCGAGCGAAGTCGTCCCCCCCTCAGTACAATAAATACTTTAAATGGCTGAAGCGGTCTGAGGCCTCTGCCCCTGCAGGTCAAGAAATCCACATCAGACCGATCACGTACTTTTATTAGTTGACTTTAGCAGTCAGGGGCCGACTTCACCGTCAGGCTGAGAGTTACGGGGCCACATTTCTTATTACGGTAGCTTCGTTTACCTGGAACAGATCTGACTTGAGATCAGCCTCTAAGGCTGCGTTCACGCTGCAGGCCTGAATGCTCAACTCTGATTTATTGCCCAGATCTGAAGTGTGAACTGTTCACGGCCTGAAAGTGACCCGCATGCTCAGAGGAGAAGAACACGACGCCCAGAAGTAGACACAGAAGTTCCTCTCCTGGTTTCCCGCCCTCGGTCGCATTTCTCCTGACTTAAGACAAATGTTCACAACTTTCTGTCCTTTTGATTTTAATAGTGAAGTTGCATGCAGGTGAGTCAGCAGAGACGCGGCGGACTTCAGGTGGAAGAAAGAGAATCTGCGAGCAGGTGATGGCGAGGACGAGGAGAACGACAGACACAGCTTTAATTCTGCCTTTTTCGGTCGAGTGCAGAACTGTGGCGACGGCGCTCTAGAGTGACGTCAGAGTGGCATGAGCTCCGATCTGACGTCCAGACTCAAGTCTCATTTCCAACAAGCAGACCTGGATCTGATCTGGACGCCATGTGAAAGCGGCTCAGATCAGAGTCCATGTGACCTGCTCACTCTGTGAGAAACAGAGCAGATCTGCTGCAGTCTGAACGCAGCCGTCACATGAACGTCTCCTGTGGACCTGTGATGTAACGCGCCCCCCCCCCCCTCTCCTCTTACAGTCTGCGCTCAGAGCCGGTTCCCGTCTGCAGACTTCCTCTGGAACGACACAAACTGCTGCTGCTGTACAGGTGTGTTTACTGACCCCAGTGACTCCGCCTCCCGCAGGACTCTAATTAATTACCCAGCGTGCCGCAGTTTCGCCGAGCTCAGCACCTGCTGCAGCCTATCACGCAGCCGGGAATGTGACTCGGGGAGAGTGGCTGTGCTGAAAGACGACAGGCCTGTCCAGCATCACCGCCCTAAAATATGACAACACATCAGCTGTTTGGAGCGAATGAACCAGGTGATGCAAAGCGTAGTTTAGTTAGGCGTTACGCACGGCTATAATAAACAAGAAGGAGAGGCTGCAACCCGGAAACTAAACCAGAACCCTGGACCTGAGGACCGTGGATCTGGAGCTGAGGACTTCAGGTCTTCAGGAATGTGTTTGTGCCAAGTATGTTTCTACATGTTATGAGAATCTCCGGGAAGACGGCGACAGCTGATCAGTCGTGAGGTAGATGTTCGTTACGTCAGATGTTACTCAGCGAAGGCGTTTCCATCTCCTGTTGAGCCAGTAACTCTTTTTCAAAACAGGCGAAAACCACCTCGACCAAGTGTAAAAGCGGTTTTGCATGATTGAGTGAGGTTTTTCTAATTCTGTTGTTTCCATCAAACTTTTCTAACACGAAACGTCAAAAATGCTCATAAACAAACTTGACTATAGAAACAACTTCAGGACGTTAACAGTGTCGGCTAAAGA